ACTGCATGACACTATTATGATAACACTTTTAATTATTTTGATTTTAATTCATGTAATTTTTTACTTGTTTCAGAGCTTCTTTAATACTGGCTGGACTGGGCTTCTCAACAAAAATGCAGAATCAACAAACAAGGTACAAGTTTTAAAAATGCTTTTGATGTTTTTTGCCAGAGTTAGCTGACTACCAAGTTCTCAAGATTCAGGGTTTTTTTTCTTTTCTTAAACTTTTGTTGAAAAGTACTTGTAGTGCTTGAATTCCTAACATTTCTAAACTAAAGGGTAAAACTTTGATGTTAAATCACCAAAATATTTCTCTGAAATTAAATAGACTAAGTATAAGGTAAATTTTAGAAGTCAGTAAAACAAAAATAGTTTGAGATTGTGACTGTCAGGGACCATTATCTTGTGTTTTAATGGGTGTAGAGTACAAGTAACATGACTTGTTTCAAGGGCAAGGCACAGTTGAAGAAAATTGATGTTGAACATTTATGAATGCATTGTTGTTTATTTGTAGAGAACTGTCTGGAGGTTGGAGAATGAGGCTTGCTCTTGCAAGAACACTATTTAGTAGGTAAGAGAACACTGTTGGATAAGTTATATTGCAGGCTCAGCTATAAAAGCTTTTATTCTAATTTTTTGTGTGTGTGATAATTTATTTGACACTCAGCATGTTGTTTTGGAAATATGCAAAAATGATTGTTTCATCTATTGATCATGAATGGGAATGAGCAGCTCTTATAGGGATGTGTACTATACACTAGTAGTTTGGTTTTGGTTTAAGCCAATTTTGATTGCCGATTTGCAGGTACACTAACCTTTATCTGGAAATTTACAGTTAAGAAATAAATATTATCGCACAGTTGCGGGAAATCATAAATTTAGCTCGTGGTGTTTGGTTTTTTGTGTTTTGTGAGCAATCTCTCAAGCAATCTAAATGAACAACTCAGATGTCAAAAATTTTTGTTCACTAGTTACTGAATGGATTTAGAAACAATTTGGTCTGTTCTCTTAAAAGATCTTGTCGTCTTTGTGAGGAGAAACACAATTATTGAGCTGACATATCTTAAAGAATTTGTTACGAATTTGTTATGCAACCCCCTGTATTAGATGCTCTTATAATACAGAAAATCATTTTCAATGTTTTTCTTAACAATGCCTCAAACCTACAATCCTTTAGTCTCTATTAATGCAACTAGAATACTCACTCACATTTCTTATGAACAATAATCAACTTTGCTGTACCTTGTTACTCACTCATGAATGTAAACTTGGATATCTAGATTTTATTACTGAAGACAAAGTTAAATCTTGTAAAAGAAGGATTCTAGGTCTAACATATACAGTGTATACGTAAGTCATTATATTTGTAAAAGTTTTATTTTTGCAAACCTACTTTACATGTAACAAGCAAATGATGTATGTGCATGTACAGTATAAATGATGTTTTACATGCGGGTTTAATAACTTTTAATTTTGCTGTCTGGTTTTAGACCCGATCTTTTACTTCTTGATGGTAAGTAATTGATTTATTTTGTCAAAGTAAATCACTATTTTTTTTTTTTTTTTTTGCAGTCTTGATGTGGTTTCCTCTAACTTACATATTAAATTATAAGCTGGAAAACGTACTACCTTCAAAGTTAAAAGTTAGCTTTTTAGTGGGAGAAATGGTGTCCTATTTAAGCAAGCATTTCAAGTCTTCTGCAATGTTGTCGCAAATCATATTTATTTTAGCTGTTTTTGAGCAGTGGCATTATTTCTCTTTGTGTAGAACCTACCAATATGTTGGATCTAAAAGCTGTTTTGTGGTTGGAAAAATACCTTTTGGTGAGTTTCTGTTAGTTTTCCTGCTCAGTAGTTAAACACATATAAGCCTCGATACCGGTTTGTTGAGGTGCATTTTGCAGATGTTGTGCTAAGATTTAAAGGCTATTTTAAAACTCTGCACTGAAATGACGAAAGGATGCTGCAATATCTGCGCACATTTTATAGTTTATTGATGTGCATCAGCAACTTTATATTTGAAAACCTACATCAGTAGATTCAACAGATCATTTATTGATCTTTATGGTGACAGCGCAGCTGTTCTATGTCTTTTTAGTATATTCCTCAAGTAGAACTGTATTATTTCAGCAGTGAATGGGTGTAAGTACATTTTTATTTGTTTTTATTGGTAGAATTGGCCATGCACCTTGCTTGTCGTATCACATGACCGCACGTTTTTAGATGCTGTGGCGACGGACATTATTCACATGCACTCGCAAAGACTAGAGTCCTACAGAGGAAACTATGAGGTGAGTAACATTGGGTGAATGTGGAGCAATTCAAATATGGAACAGTTTTGCTGGCTTACTTGTTGATCGTATTCATATAATGCAACTTACAGTATTATGTATGGAAGCAGCACTTTATGGCAGGCCAAAAACACTTGCATACAATCCCAGGGGTGTTACAAAATCTGCAACAACTTTCCAGCCTCATGATCGGCTCATGGGGTAGTAATTCTGTCAATTTCAATTTGCAGCATTGTTTATTGAGACTAAGGACCTCTGGATAACTGAACCTTGCATGCTTACCAGCTCACTAATGTTTTCATTGTTCTTAGAATTTTGTAAAAACCATGACAGAAAAACTAACCAATCAACAGCGGGAATACGAGGCACAACAAATGCACAGGCAACATCTACAGGTTTGTAAATGAACTGTATGATTTAAAGTAAGTGGGGAGAAAATTTTGTCATATCAGTTCTACTATATATAACGACCAATCAATCACCAGAGAGGGCCAGCGACTAGGAAGGTGGAAATGAGAGTTTCAAGAAATACATGTATGTTACTTGCAGGGGTCCCATAGCTAACTAGAATAACACACTTGAGAGGGATTACTCTAGACTACGAGTAGTCCAGTATTACTCGAGTACTTACTGGAAAATGATGCACCATAAGGATCTTCAGTAACGGAATACGCTGAAGATGTAACGAGAGGACACAAGCAAGGAGTTACACCACTGGTGAAAGTTTGACATCAACATATAAACATGAATAGCAAAATGAAAACAGGAGTTATCAAAGTATCACCAGATTTAAGGGATTAAAAAATGAAGTTTTCTACGTGTTTCTTTAGCTTTTTATTGGCAATGAAGATTAAAATGATCATGAAGGCAGGTTTATTTCAAAATAGAAGTAAAACAAGGAAAGACGGTGTGAAAGATCTAATCGTGAACATTGCTGTTACTTTTATTATTATTTCAGGCATTTGTTGATAGATGGAGATATAACGCGAAAAGAGCATCGCTTGCACAAAGCAGACTCAAAGCGCTGGAGAAATTGTAAGTATATCATTTAACATTTCTTGATATAAACAGTTGCAGAATTGTACAGCACCGCTCCACAAATGATCCCCAGACCGGAAATGATCCCCAAATTAGACCGCAAATGATCCCGCCGGAAAACCGGTTTCACTGCCCTTCTTCAGGCACCAGTATCAGTTTTCATTTGTTTTTAGGGGATAAATCAGAGCAAATAAATACTACTGTTGGACCCTAGTAATTCGATCTCGGGTATTTCGAATTCCCTGTTATTCCGAGCTCAAAACTACGCCCCTTTTATTTGCCATGCAGTCATTTACTATCGTCTATTTCGAACTCCCGCTATTTTGAACTATTTTTCGTTTAGAGTTCAAAATTAGCCTGATTCAACTGTCTTTGTATTATGCTGTTGATCAGACTCTAGAACCAACTTATAATTATAATTATAATAATAATAATAATAATAAATAAGAAGAAGAAGAAGAAGAATAAGAAGAAGAATAATAGTAATAATAGTAATAATAATAATAAGAATAAGAATAAGAATAAGAATAAGAATAAGAATAATAATAATAATAATGACTTTATTGTTTTGTTGATTACATCCAGCAGTGGGGAATTCCCACTGACACCTAACTAGAGCTATCTAAAAATAATATACAGAAAAGTCCTACAAGAGAAATTAAAATTATGAGTTACAAAGATGGCAGCCACTTCATCCTTCTAGGATGTTGTCTAGATCTAGCCTCCGTACGTGGGTCTTAAACTGCTTGAGATTTATCGCCGATCTTTCGTTATTTGTTAGTTTGCTCCATAGTCCTGGGCCTAGATATCGAATTGAATGTTTTCCGTACGTAACAGTGTTAAATCTAGGTAAATGAAAATCTCTCTGCCGTAAACTATAAGTGTGGCTATTAGTATAAAACATGTTACAAATAGTCCGCGAGCACTTGAAACTAATTGTAATGCTTGGTGTCTTGTTTAGACCTGATCTGCAGCCTGTTGTTGTGGATCCACCTGTTGTACTCAAGTAAGCTAATTAATGACTTTACTCATTACTCTCTAGAACTGTTACCTGAGTTAAAATAATCTTGTTTATACGTTTATTCATGTTTGATCATTTCAATGTGAGTTGTATATCTTTGCTGCAGATTTCCAGAGTGTGAAAAACTCTCCCCTCCTGTGTTACAGCTGGATGAGGTATGCTACTTTGTCACTTGTTTATCTTTCATAAACCTGCTTGTTATATAAGGGTTATTGACCATGTGTGAAGTCAAGATGGCTGGATATTTGCCAAGTTCTTTTTTTTGCATGTTTATGGACCGAGACGGAGACGAGGTCCATAAACAAGGAAGCAAAAGAACGAGGCCAATATCCAGTCATCTTGACCTAACTAGCTTGGTCAATAAAGGATTTATTATATGGAGAAAGAACAATATTTTCTTGCGGGAGACAGCGGGTAATCCCGAGCTGGCAAGTGCCCACTTAGTCAATCATATTGCAGGATTCAGTTCATCTTGCCCGCCCACAGAGCTAGCCATAAAATAAAGCCTTTCATTATATGGCTGTGTCTCGCCAGAACTGGGAACTACCAAATTCGCGAACATGATTGGTTAAAATCGGTATTAACCGCGGTCTAGATTTTCCCATCTAGATCAGCAGCTAGATCTCTCTACCTCATACGTTCGCTGTGAAAAGTTGCAAACAAAAAATTCAAACTCATTTGGCTTCTTTCTGCTGAAAATACTTAATGGAAGAGCCAAAAAGACGAAGAGGAAAAAGGTTAATAAAACGAGCAAACTTTGGTAAATGTAAGTTTAACTCGTAGCTGAATACGAAATAGAGAAGTTTGTGCAAGTTCAGAAGTGAAAAGTTTATACCAGACCGACTTAAACGTCAGTAAGAAATTTTTTTAGTTAATAAAGAAGCTAGAGAAATTGAAAACATACCTGTCAGTGGGTTCGAATCATGTGAGCCACGCTTAGGGATAATCGTGTTGTCATTAGAAAAACGTTAAAATCGCGGCCATTATAACTTGGACTATGTCCTTTGCCTCATTTAGGTGATCTTCTACTACGAGAAAGGAAAAGTTGTTCTCAACAAAGTGAGTCTTTCAGCAAACCAGGAGTCGAGAATAGCACTGGTAAGTTGACATTCTTCAGAAAGAACTGAACTTACGTTAATTTTGTTTTTTTTTTCCTCTAGTTACACTGGGTCGCATTTTGGCAGTTATGTTGCCTAGGGTTAAGCGTTTGAAATAACTTGAGAGGATACAGAGCTGTCTGAAAGGTTCGGGAGACATTCCCTTCTATTTTCAACACGAAAAAGAGGCATTCCTAAAACACTATCCAGAGTGACTTAAGCAACTGACCTGTTCACTGCATGTACTTTAACCAGTGGCCTCTTATTACTTGTGTGATGATGACCGGCGTATGGCACCTGACCTTCCGGTGTAGAACTTGTCAGTGTGGATGTATAGGGTGGACAGTCTCATTGATTCGTGTATTTCCTTGTAGGTTGGTGAAAATGGCCAAGGAAAAACCACATTGCTAAAGCTATTGCTCGGTGATTTGGAGCCAGTGTCAGGACTCAAATTCTCTCACAGGTAGGAAGTTGGCTTAGCATGTTTTTATGAGATCCAGTAAGTTAGAATTTATTTTATCTTCACTACAGTTATCGTTTCTAGTGGAAAAAAATGAACTTGTACTGTATGAAAGATTTTGTTTCCTTTGTCTCCGGACAAACTTCTCGCTTGAAAAGCATAAAGGCCAATTGACGTGATTTTCGGAGATGCATGAAGTTTGGGAAATTGTTTTGTGAGATATTGTAGAATTGGAATTAACTGATACAAATAACAATATACTGTTAAATAACTGGGTACGTTAAGGAAGCCTTGAACTCGTTCCCTGCTCATCAGTTTGGAAGGGCCACTTCATTTATATTTTGTACTTTCTATTTGACAGGAACTTAAAGATCGGTTATTTTAGTCAACATCACGTCGATCAACTTGGTTCAGAGCAGACTCCATTGGAATTACTCGCTTCTAAGTTTCCAGGTACAAACAACACTGAGTGTAGACTGCTGTCTTTGGCTGATAATTAGTTATTAGCGATCAGGCAAACAAGTGCCACTACTGACAATGTTCTATTGAAATCACCTGCACACCTTCTGCAAGTTCAAAACTGGATTACGAGGAAATTGTCAACTAAGATCTCCATAACCAGGGTTGCCAAAGGCCAGGAAATGTTCGGGGTAAAAAAAAAATCTTCAGGGTCAGGGAAAACTAGGGAATTTTATTTTCAGTCAGGGAAAATTCACATCCTGATGTAAACTCAGGGAATATTGAAATTTTAACACTGTTAAACCATTGAGGACTGGAGGAAAAATTTCTCAACGATGTTTTGAAAAACTGTCTGTGGCAACCATGGTAATAGCGGAAAGATGTGAATGCCTTTTCCGGTCAGAATTTCTGTAAGTAGAACTCTTGGTCACATAATCTAGCCAATCAAATCATTTGTCTCCAGAACCATACAAGCTTAACATTTGCCATCATAGCACGTTAGCTTAACATGTACTTTCATTGCGTTTCTGTAGATGTTCTAGCACGTAAACTTAGCATGTACCTTCATTTCGTTTCTGTAGATGTTGTAGCACGTAAGCTTAGCATGTAACTTGATTTCCTTTACAGGGCAGCATGAAGAAGAGTATCGCCGTCAGCTTGGTAGATATGGAGTCATAGGCGACCTGGCTCTCAGACCCGTCAAGAGCCTGTCGGGTGGACAGAAGAGTAGAGTGGTCATGGCTGTGATGAGTATGATCAGGTCGGCGGTCCAACTTATTAATTACTATACAGATATGTAGATATCTTCTGGGTTAATATGAAGTGATAGGTCACCTGGCTCTTAAACCTGTGAAGAGCTTGTCAAGGGAACAGAAAAGTAGTGTAGTTATAGCTGCGATGAGTATGATACGGTAGGCCATTAAACTTAATTACTGTGTAGATATGTAGATATCTCTACCTTGTAGATATGCAGTGATTGGAGCTTGTTAGGATAACAGAAAAATACAGTAGTTGGTACGAGGAGTATATCCAGAAGCATTCTGCTATGACAGGGTTGGTAATTGCCATGCAGATATGTTCCATATCCACCGGGTAGATATGGAGAAAAATACAATACTTAGGTGACGCTCTTGATGGCGCATTGTAGAGACAATTAAAATAAAAAATGCAATAAAATCGCCACAAAAATTACTCTAGCGTTACCTAGAAAATTACAATAGTCATAGCTGTAATAAACAACAGATTGAGTTCAATGAGTTCCGAAGAACAAGGAACCAAGTGGCCTGCACACACTGATCAAGCACTAACTGAATTCCTTCCTGGCTGCTGTTGAATAATTTTTATCTCATGCAAGCGTCTTAACTGTAATTGTCCTTTTCTCATAGACCGCATTTCCTGATTCTTGACGAACCGACAAACCATTTAGATGTAGAAACAATAGAAGCTCTTGGAAAAGCTTTGAACGATTATAAGGTGATTTTGCTATTGCTTGCTTGTTTTTATTTGTGTCTGCTGTCGTCGTCGAATAAAACTCATGTATATCGATATAGCTTAAGACCGACAATGGTTCTCTTGCAGGGCGGTGTTGTCATGGTAACTCATGACGAAAGACTTGTAAGAAGTGTATGTAAGGAAGTTTGGTTGTGTTCCAATGGCTCGGTGACCAGACAAGATGGCGGATTCGAGCAATACAGAAAACTTCTAGAGGATCAACTTCGAGATCTATGACGAAATCTTTATAATTACAAATGATAAATTTAATTACTAGTTAATTTACTGTTAAGATTGTATAGCATTTAAACCATGATATAAAAAGCTTAGCTGGCAGTTTTAAAAACAAGAAATTCTGCTATAAATAGTTTGTCGCCCATCGCTGGGGTGCAAAGTGTAAATCTGAATCTCCTACAGTCGTGGTGTGACCATGACTCAGGCGTCCTGTAAACTAAAATTGTTTCAAATTCTCGTTGACTAGTTGCTCAGACACGGTATCAAGACCTACTGTGTGTTGTGCGTGGTCAGCATGGATGGTCCAGGCAGATACAGCCAAAAAAACAAAGAATTTCGTCAGGCTTCCATTTTGCCATTCGCCTTCGCTTCTAAGATGAAGTCAAATGAACTTGATCAGGATCAGTCGTAAGAAAAACACGGGTTGTTTATGCGCGCTGATCGTTTATTGATTGAAGTTATTGTTATAAGTCGTCCCTGTGTGTCGTACCCTAAAGAATTTTATCTACCTCTTGTAACCAGGGGACCTCCCTCCCTAAGGGGGGGGGGGGGAAGGGGTAGGGGGAGAGACGAAAATATTAAGAAAACGAAATGTCCTTTATTCACACAACATGAAGTTATTATCTTTCAAAAGCAGTTCAACATAACTAGGTACCTATCGGGATTAGTAGATGTTACTACTAACACGATGTCAGAGTGTTCTGTGCTCTAACACGAGTTAACCTTGTTTGAGCTAGCACTTGTTCCCAAGTACATAACATTCAGTTCATATCTACGTTTTCTCACCAATGAATATTCAAGATGTCGGTTTAGAAATGATTGGAGATACCACACACTATACATTCCAAGGCTTCTCTTGAATCCTTCCTGGCAGGGGTTATGTCAGATAATCTGACCACATCATCAAGACTTCTAACAATTTGGAGCTAAATCTAACAAGAAATATGTATGGTCTAGTCAATCACGTATTCGTTAGTTTTACAGTAACACCCACGGGAATGTTTACTTATTTCTTGTATTTTCCGCGCTCCGGAAAATATTACGAAACTCGATGAAATATTCACCGTGTTATAAGGTGTGTGTATACCTCTCACTAACCGAGATACACAATTTCAGAAGTGAAAGAAAGTTTTAACCTTTTTCTTGCTATAAAAGTTAAGAAGACTTGGCGATAAATCACGAAACATTTTGG